ATCTCTGCCTGACATTTCTGCCTGGGATCTCCCAGAGCTGACCTTAGGGAATATTCTGTGTGGCTCACACTAATATGGGGTGAAAGGTCACTGAACTCACCAGGGGTTTTTTTTTTTTTTTTTTTGCAGTTTTTGGCCAGAGCTGTGTTTGAACCCACTACCTCCTATACTCCTTTGAGCCACAGGCGCTGCCCAATCCCCAGGGTTTTACCATGACACTTGGCACAACCTGCAAATCCTTCCTCTGCTGACCAGAAGCTTTCCCCTTTGACCTAGTTCTCTAAACACGGTGGGAAGAGTGAGGGCAACTTCTGCCAACCTGCTACGGTCTCCCAGGTCTAACAACAGGGGTGGGGGGCTGTACCTGGCTCCTTTCTTTCTGGGAAGAGCCCTTCATCATCACTCAGTGTTACACAGCCTTGATTCCTGTTAGTGGCTGGGTCCCTCTGGGGATTAGACGGTGCCTGTGTCTCAAAGGAGTAGGGCGCCAGCCCCATATGCCAGAGGTGGCAGGTTCAAACCCGGCCCCAGCCAAAAACTGCAAAAAAAAAAAAACCCTGGGGATTTCAGTGACCTTTCACCCCATATTAGTGTGAGCCACACAGAATATTCCCTAAGGTCAGCTCTGGGAGATCCCAGGCAGAAATGTCAGGCAGAGATGCCCACTATTTTTCACTCAGGGTAATGGGGAAGTGAGGGTTTTGATCTGAGGGTGGTGGTCATGTGTCAACAGAGGGAAGAATTTTGGGCCCTCACATGAGTCAAATTTAGAAGCTGAGTTGGGATCCTATGTGGGACAGTAATCTGCCTGCCACAACTTTCACTTGTGGGAAAACCACATTTGTTCAGGTAAGGCCGCCCTGACTTCCTCCTAGTGAGTTTCAGGGAAGTTGGCTCTTACTAGTAGGCCATATGCCTCAGCTCATGAAAAAGACTGAGCTGCCCAGTTGAGCACTCTTAAGTGAGATTTCAAAGGACCGTCAAAACTTAAACAGAGAAGATAACAAAGAATCAATCCCAACCCTTTGTTTTCAGTCCTAGAAAGCTCGGGAAAGGGCTGTCAGATTGAGTATTCTCCTCACTTCTTTATTTATTTATTTATTTATTTGCAGTTTTTGTCTGGGGCCGGGTTTGAACCTGCCACCTCCAGTATATACCCTATTCCTTGAGCCACAGGCGCCCCCCCCCCCCCCCCGCTTCTTCATATCACATCTAAGGGAGGTGAGACCCTTCGTGTAAATGTGTAGCCACAGCGAGCAGAAGGGGGGAGGCGGCGCCTGTGGCTTAAGGAGTAGAGCATATACCGGAGGTGGCGGGTTCCGCCGCCCCAACCTTCCATTAAGCCAAGGTGAGGACCCTGAATGAGGGCTAAAGACCCCAATGAACCCAAGATGAAAAGGATCTCACTGAACTCTTAGTAATTTGTGTCCCCTGTCATGGCAGTGGGACTGAAGCACCCTGTCAATTCTTTCTGATGGGTCCTGGGGAGCTTTAGGGTGTCAACTTCAAAGGAAGAGAGGACTGTCACTCAGGCCCTGCCACAAGTTGATATGCTAATTCTAAAAATGAAGTGAGATGACCACAAACATCAGAAGACAGAAAGCCCCAGTCCTTGCTATCACCCCAGTAAGCCCATGATGCTGTCTAAGATACATACTAAGGGTTTTATGGTTCCTCTGTGGTGTTTTGGGGAGAGGCTGACCAGAACAGGAGCCATGTAGGTTTGTAGAGGGGTGGGTCCTCAGGGAAACCTGCAGGGTCAAGTTGCCTTCAGTAAAGCCAAGATGGCATGTCCCTGCTGAAGGTGCTGACAGGATCTCATTCTCCCACCTCCAGGTACATCAGCCACCTATCCTCTTACTCACACTCCCCCCTGCTGTCACTGACCACAGCCATCATGCCTCGTGGTCAGAAGAGTAAGCTCCGTGCCCGTGAGAAACGCCGCAAGGCTCGAGATGAGATCCAGAATCTTGGTGCTCAGGCTGCTGCAGCAGAGAAAGAAGAGTCAGCTGCTTCTTCCTCTTCTGCTTTGGGGAGTACTCCCCCCAGCTCCCTTGCTGCAGGTGCTTCATGCACAAAATCTAAGAAATGTGGCAAGAGCAAACGTCAGGAGAGAAAAATGGCCTCCCAGGCTGCAGCTGCCGCTGAGAGAGCACAAAGAGATCCTATAATCAGGAAGGCAGGGATCTTGGTGCAGTTCATGCTGTACAAGTATAAAATGCAAGAGCCCATTACAAAGGTAGAAATGCTGAAGGTTGTCCACAAAAGGTACAGGGAGCATTTCCCTGAGATCTTCAAGAGAGCTTCTGAGCGTGTGCAGCTGGTCTTTGGTCTTGACCTGAAGGAAGTCAACCCTGGTGGTCAGTCCTACACCCTTGTCAGCAAGCTAGACTTCGAGGATGATGGAAGTCTGAGCAGTCTCTGGAGCTTTCCCAAGAATGGGCTTCTGATGCCTCTCTTGGGTGTGATCTTCTTAAATGGTAATTCTGCCTCCGAGGAAGAGATCTGGGAATTCCTGAATATTCTGGGGGTCTATGATGGGAAGAAGCACTTCATCTTTGGGGAGCCCCGACAGCTTATCACCGAAGAGCTGGTGCAGGATGAGTACCTGGTGTACCAGCAGGTGCCCAACAGTGATCCTCCGCGCTTTGAATTCCTGTGGGGTCCCAGAGCTCACGCAGAAACCAGCAAGATGAAAGTCCTGGAGTTTCTGGCCAAGATCAACGATACCGTCCCCAGTGCCTTTCCTTCCCATTATGAGGAGGCTTTGAAAGAAGAGCAAGAGAAATGTGGAGCCGAAGCTGCAGCAGAGCCCAGCACCTCTTCTGAAGCTAGAGGGCGTTCTAGGGCCAGACGCAGCAGCTCCTCCCGCCGCTAGGAGGGTCTGAGGCAGTCTCTTTCCTTTCTGATTGAAAAGTCCTGTTAACCTTTGTTCTTGTTATGTATGAATAACTTGTTGATTAATCTTTGTGTTTTAACTGGTGTTTCTTTCAACCGAAAATTTATTTAGATTCAGAATATAAGTTTACCTATGACATGGAACCCATACTTATTGCTGTTAATAAGATTTAGTAGTAGGAGTTTTGTTTCTTTTTGAAATGTGAATTGAAAATCCTTAGGTCTCTTCTGTAATCCAGAGAAAGGTCATATGGCATTAAAATAGGAGTATTTACGGAAATGTGAAAGATGCCACAGTAAAAGAGGTGAAATAAGAAGACATAGAAAAAAAGATAAACACTGGTCAATTTTTGGTTTTCTTTACTCCACTTAACCTTTCTTCTCATAAATGTAAAAGATATAGGGATTTGTTTATGTTATTCAAGCATGTGTGAAAAATAAAAGCAAAATGTTAGACCTCTTGTCCCTGGCTCTTATTTCACCCTAACTTTAATTGAGCATTTGCTCTATGGAAGTCCTCGTGCTTGTACTGGGAATGTTTAGTCAAAGAAGACTCAGCTCCTGCCTTTGCAATTGTAGATTCTAGTAGAAGCTAGCATCATGGAAGAGAGTGAGAAACCCTGTCCTTCATAAAGAAGTGTAATTCATCATAAAGAGGTGATGAAGGGAAAATACTACCCAGTTTTCATTGCTAAGCAGAATTTTGGCTGAATGTGGGGTTTTGTCCTAGATTGTTGCCTAGTCTCTAAGATGCCCTGGAATTTTTTTAAAAATCCCTGCTGGATAAGTGGTAATGTCTCCAATCAAATCATCATCACAATAATTGCCACTCAGTAATGTCTCACTACAAAATAGGAATAGCCAAAGATGCTTTGTATACATTACATATATTCTGCCAGTCCTGGGAGATAGGGCTTATCAAACCCACTTCACTGTAGAGAGCCTGGGACTCTTTGAGGTTAGTAGTGTGCCAGAGATCATAGTAATAGTAGCAACAGTTGGGACTAGATCCCCAATCTGAATTACTCTCAAGCCCACACTGTTCCACTCCTCCCAACCTGAGGCCCACCTCTTATTTTAATTTTCTTCTCAGTACTCCAAAATGTATTTCAGGTGACAAAAAGAAGTCGTGGTGCCCAAACTACTGGATTGGAATCCATAGCCATAGCAGCAAGAACATTAAGGTAATTGAGAGGTGTAAATCAAAAAATGAAAGAGACAGCATTCAGTGACAGTTTAATTATCTATATTTGCACTGTTAGATGATTGCAAAAGATCGGGGGCTTCCAGAATCATCCTAAACAATACATTCCCTATAGAAAGTAAATCTATCAAAATAGAAGTCAGTTTAGGTCTGACTGGTGAAGAGAAGTAGTCGATGTATTTTTTTTCTGGCAGCCCACCTCTAATCCTGCCTTTGCTGCAGCTTCCCCATCTCACACCACTCCTAGGACAAGGAGCCATTCTCTTCAAGGCTTGCAGAGGGGAAACTGCTCTAGACTTTGCATGCATGTATGTAGCATTTCCCGGGATGCATTTAATCCAAGAGACAGAGCCAAGACGAGGGCTGGGGAGACCAACACACCAGGATGTAAGGGGGAATCGTACAGACAATCCCGGTCTTCTCTTGGATGCAGACAGACTCAGAGCTATCAGTCTGAGCAGCTCCTCACATTATTCTTAAGGCTTCTGAGGGACATAGTCCTAAAGCAGCATCTGTAGGTCAGTAGAGGAAGAAGTCCCAGACTCTCATAGAAATGAAGGTATCATAAGCCTGAATGAGGATGATGGAAGGGCCCTGCCTGAACAGTGGGGTCATATAAAAGCATATCCCAGTTGTTATCCCTGTGAAGTCCTAAACTATACTGGCTGCTTGTGGCTGCCACTGAATTCCAATTCTGATCCCAAGAAGGTGAGGACTTTGGTCTGAAAGCCAGGGTCTCAAGTCAGCAGAGAGTCCTAAGAAGGGTGCAGAGTCAAGGTAAAGACCTTGCATATGGACTTAAGAACTGTTCACCTCACAACTAACAGGGTGGCATGATCTCACCTAATGTGCACATTGGGAGGGTGTTCAGCACGCCCCATGGGTGAGGGGGTGAGGGGCTCTTGTACAACTTTAACTTTACCTTGGAAGTGAGAACAATGTAACCTAAAAATTTGTACCCTCATATTAATTTGCTTTTTTTTTTATGAGACAGAGTTTCAATTTGTCACCTTTGGTAGAGTACTGTGGCATCATAGCTGACAGCAACTTAAACCTCTTGGGCTCAAGTGATCTCTTGCCTCAGCCTCCCAAGTAGCTGGGACTACAGGCGCCCACCACAGTGCTCGGCTATTTTTAGAGGTGGGTCTGGGTCTTTCTCAGTCTGGTCTTGACCTCCTGAGCTCAAGCAATACACCCACCTCAGCCTCCCAGCGTGCTAGGCTTACAGGCGTGACCCTCATATTAATTTGAAATAAAATAAATGACAGGTTTGCCCCTTGTGCCTCCTCTGCTGTTAGCCATGGGAGGCCTAAGGAAGACTTGACAGTCTCATATGCCCCTGACTTCTACCTGGAGGATCTCAAGGAGATGAGAGACTTGGCTGACAAGTTCACCAGCCATTTCAGCAGAGGGTAGACTCCCAGGCCATGACAAGTGTCAAGGTAAAAATCTTTTATGAAGAATGAGGCACATATCACAGAGGTGAACAGAAAACAGAAATTTCCTTAGAAATTCTGTCCTGCCTCAGCAGTCAACCTTGGGAGACTACAGGCAGAGCTTGCAGGCTGAGGTTACCTGTCATTTACCCGGGGGTGGGGGGAAAGAGGATGGTCTCAGGGACATGAAGTCCTTGCACTAATGGAAGAGGCCCCTTTTAGTGGAGGGAGGAGACTAGCTCATTAACAGCAGTCAACATGATGACACTGAGTGACAATAAGGAGACCCCTTCCAGAATGAAGAGGGTCACATACGACCCTCTCCCTGTTTTCAGACCTGAGCATGGCAATGTGAGGAGTCATGCTTACTTCTTCCCAGGTAATCTTATGGTGGTAAGGAAACTTAACAAAGAGGGCTGCCTCAAATTAGAAAACAAGGGTTCCAAGTTGTTCCAGAAGTCAAGGAGAGAACCCTGAAGACGGGGACCACCAACTCTGTAACAGTGGGGGCAACACGGATTCTTCCCGCTGCTATTAGTCTGGGGAAACTGTGAGCAGCTGTGGCAATATGAGGCAAATTTCACTTCTTCCTAGAGTGTATTTATCGGGGAATTGGGGGCTTTAGTATGAAGGGATAAGACTCAGGTCAAGACAGGGAGGATTTCCAGCATGTGCCGCGAGGAAGGGTGAGGACACTGAAGAGCGTGCAACCACACGCCCCAGATCAGTAGGAGCCACACAGAATCTCCCCTACTGTTAGCCCCTGAAGACCCCAGGCAGAAATGTCAGGTGGAGCCATCCATCAGTTCTTACTCAGTGGTAACAAAGAAGTGAAGCTCTCAATCTTAGGTTGGTAATTCCACCTCCATCAACAGAGGAAGGACTCAAGTTTGCTGAGGAGTTAAATTGAGGACCCTGAGTTGGGACTCTACATGCAAGTACCCATCACAGGGCCTCAACCAGCCTGCCACAGCTTTCATTCATTCCTTGTGAGACCATTGGCAGGTGCGTACCCTGCTAAAGTTATCCTCATACCCTCTTCTTGGGTCTCAGGAAAGTGTAGGCCTCACTATGAGATGTCCTCAGGTCAAAAATGAGGTGAGTCCCAAGCTCTGCCAACAGTGAAATCAGAAAACCTGAATTGGAACAGCAAGAACCACATTCCTTTGAATAGAGGGGATAACAAACTATCATGACCTACCCTTACCCTTTGATATCAGTTCTAGAAGACTCAGAGCAGGGCTTTCAGGGGAGGCTCTCCCTCCTCTTTTTTTTTTTTGAAACAAAAGTCTCACTCTGTCGTACTTGGTAGAGTGCCACAGTATCACAGCTCACAGCAACCTCAAACTCTTGGGCTTAAGCGGTTCTCTTGCCTTAGCCTCCTAAGTAGCTGGGACTTCAGGTGCCCACCACACTGCCTGGCTATTTTTTGTTGCAGTTGCCACTGCTGTTTTAGCTGGCCAGGGCTGGGTCCAAACATGCCACCCTTGGTATATGGGGCCGGTGCGCTACCCACTGAGCTACAGGCACCACCCTCCCTCCCTTCTTTATATCAGGTCTAAGAGAGGGGAAATCTTTGGTCTGAAAATGCATTCACCAGTCAGCAGAAGGAAGGGATCCAATATATGCTGGTCACTGGCAAGTGCTTCCCATTCATTACACACATCCTGCCAGTTCTACCGGACAAGCTTTACCAAGCCCATTTTGTAGATAGCCAGCCTGAGGCTCAAAAAGTTCAATGACATCCCCCTGTTAAGACAGTTAGTACTGATAGGGCTGGGAGTAGACTCCTGGTCTGACTTAGTTGAAATCTCACACTGTTCCATTTTTCCCAGCCTGAGACTGACCTTGTCCCTTAATTCACTTTTCTTCTCATGACTGCAAAATGTGTCATAGGCAATAAAAAGAAAGGCTTTATATGCAGCCAGAGCAGCAAAAGTATCAAAATAAGTGGGAGGTTTGGATAACAAAAAAAAGAATTAATATTTTGATGACAGAATCACATATATATGCTTGTAATGTCAGATAACTTCAAAAAAGCAGGGGCTCAGCTGGGCCTGGTGGCTCACACCTATAATCCTAGCACTCTGGGAGACTGAGGTGGCAGGATCACTTGAACCCAGGAGTTTGAGACCAGCCTGAGCGAAAGCAAGACACTATCTCTACCAAAAAATAGAAGAATTCATCAGATATGGTGGTGCATGCCTCTAGTCCCAGCTACCCAGGAGGCTGAGGCAGGAGGATTGCTTGAGCCCAGGAATTTGAGGTTGCTTTGAGCTAAGTTAAGGCCATGGTACTATAGCCCGGGTGACTAAATGAGAGGTTGTCTTTAAAAAAAGAAAAAAAAAAGATCAGGGGCTCAAAAAATTTATCTGATTCAGTTAATTCCAAAGTTCCAATTTAATAGTGAGTACACATGGTGTTTATCCATTCTGTAGGTATTTCACTTAGGATAATAAGCTCCGGTTCCATCCAAATTCTTGCAAAAGGCATTAAGTCATCATTTCTCATGACTGAGGAGTAATCCATGATACACATACACCACATTTTGTTAATTCATTCATGAACTGATGGGCATTTGGGTTGATTCCACGTCTTTGCAATTGTTAATTGTACTGCAATAAACATTCAAGTACAGTTGTCTTTTTGATAAAATAACACACTATCTGGGTAACAGGCACGCTTACAACAATGACTCAAGAGGCTCGGCGCCTATAGCTCAACCGGCTAAGGTGCCAGCCACGTACACCTAAGGTGGCGGGTTCGAATCCCCAGCCCAGACCCGCCCAACAACAATGA